CTCCGCGGCGGCGCCGGCCCGCCGCCGACCCCACGCCACACACTCCGCCCCGATGCTCACCCCCGCGCGGCCCGGGAAGGCCGTATTTAAAGGACGTGGCCGCGCCGACGCGGCCTGCGTGATGACGTCACGGGGCGCCGGGGCGGGGCTGCGTTTCCCTGGGGTTGGTGGCGCGCTGCATGTGCTGCAGGTGCTTCCCTCTGCTGGGCGGGGCGCGCCCTCGCTGTACCCCGGGAAGGCCGGGCCGTGGGTGTCCATCCAGCGGGCCTGGTGGTGGTGTACGGGAGGCCAGGCCTGTGCTTGGAAAGATAGACAGACTTGGTGTGACCTAGGAAGCTGCCTTTCCTAAACCCCGTGTCCCCACCTTAAGGAGGAGATGATGGAGTACGTGCTCCTAGGGCTTTGGAAACGCCCAGCACGGAATCTGGCCTCCAGCAGGGCCTTAGCCCGCTCCCTGTCCCATTTTAGATGTCACTTCCGCTAGGGTCGCTTGTGATTCCTGTAGAACTAAGCCTGGTATTTCCAGAGGTCTCTCCCCCACAGTAGGGATTGAACTCAAGGCCTTCACCGTGACCCCCTTTTTTAATTTTTACTCTGAGATGGGGTCTTGCCAAGAATAACTCCAAATAAGTTGCCTGAGTTGGGCTCGAACTTGGAATTCGTGTGCATCCTCTGCCTTCTCTCACACTTTGATCTGTATAATGGGAGCAGAAGTCGGAAGGAGCAATGGAGGATTTTAAAGTATTATGGAAAGCAAGATGCGAATTTTTACGTATATGAGTTGCCAAAATACATCATATGGGGACCCTAACCAAACAAGAAACACATACATGTGTTAGTGTGTATATAATGAGTCCTTTTCCATTTGTATATAATGAGTCCTTTTCCTCTTCCAATAAAAGATGCAATCTTGGACATCAAACAGATCATGATTCTCTAATATGTTACAAAAGAATCAGTAATAAAATGCAGAAAAAAAGGAAATTGAACCAGGTCCTGAAAGATGGGCAGGGCAGAGAGAAGGGAGGAAAAGAAGGAAGGTATGCTTACTACATCATGAATTTATCTTTGTTTTCAAAACCAAGCCAAATAAAACTTGGAATCCTCCGGCCCCAGCCTCTCAGAGTGCAGAGACTGCAGGCATCTGCCGCCCTGCCTATCTTTTCCAGAGATTTTGGACTTTGGGATTCTTAACACCTTTACATTAGATGAAACAAAGTAGAAATCTATAAGCTACTTAAGAGCGGTATTATGGTTCGGATTGTAACTGTCTCCCAAAGGCCCATAGAGGAAAGCCGGTGTTGCCAATCCATTGGGAGGGAGTGAATCCTTTAAGAGGTGGGGCTTAGTTGCAACGGGTCAGCGGGGGTGTGCCCTTGCAGGGGATATTGAGATCTCAGCCCCTTCCTCTGTTCCCAGCCAGGGTGAGGTGAGCAGCTGTGCTCCCTCCCTGCGCTGTGGTCTGATGTTCTGCCTTTTCAGGGAGCTGAGTGACCAGGACTGTGATCCCTGGAACCGTGAGCGCATAAACCTTTCCTGCTTTAAATTACCTTAAGAATTTCCTCACAGCGACAGACATATAATCTAAGAGGTACGGAGAAATCTGTTGTGAGTTCAAAAAGGGAGAGAAACGACAGATGTGAGGGCCATAAAGCAGCTTCGAATGGCTTAGCAACTTGAAGTTGTTACCCTAGGCCAGGCAGTCAGGGTGCCAGGTGGTAAGAGAGGAGGAAGGTGGCTAAGCCAGGAGCTACCAGGCTGAAGATGATTACTGTATCCTCCTAAAGATCATTATCTTGCCAAGAAGCTGATACAGGAGCGGTTTTCATAGGGGATTGGTAACCACCGACTGGTGGGCCCTGTCTCACAGGTGGAGCTCTCCAGCTCTGCAGATCTCCAGAAAAACATTGTGGTTGTCAATAGCCATTATTTCCTCAGGTTGTTCTTGTTGCTGGTGAGTTTGCCTGTGTGCGGTTCCTGACAGTTCAGGAAGCAAAGGTTAGGGGTCAGTGGCTGCCCAAAGAAGCAAGACAAGAGTTAGGTGAAGTTAAGTACAGGGTCAGGCATGCTGAGGGAGATAGAACTGGTATTAATGCTCGGCTTTTATCGAGTAACTGCGCTGAGCACTTGTAGGGTGAGCTGACTTGAAGAGTTTGGGCACTGCAGACAGAGACCCGCTCAAGGAGCTGTGTTAACTGGTTGCATGACCAGAGTCTAGTTTGTGTGCTATGAGGAAACTATGTTCTGAATTTTAGAAAAATAAATGACATTGTTAACAATGTTAGTGTAAAAAATACGATGCTATGAGCAGTGATGGGGAGCCTTTTAGAGCTTTCAGTGATAACAAACAGCTGTCTGTAGCACGTGTGGAAAAATTCGCCATCGCTGCCATAAGGGCTCTTGGGTAGTTTATTTTAACTGGATCACAAGGTCTTTGAAAGGTAGTGGGGAGAAGTGGGTTGGACAGTTGATTCGAGCCAAACACTGAAGACTTTATAAGCCAGACTAAGGAAGTTTGACTTTATAAGAAATGGGGTTGGGGGGGTTCTTATGGTTTGTGTCTAGATGTCCCCCAAAGCCTCATGCAGTCATAGGTGGGGCTTTTTCAGAGGTAGCTGGATCTAGATCTTTTTCAGAGATGCTGGAATTAAGGGCGTGTGATTACTAAATTATTCCACTTATTGGTTTGGCACTGCCCTAATCCTGGTACCCTAAATACAATATAAGAGGCATGGAAAGATGCTATTAAGGTCCCTCCCTTGTGGCTTTGCTACCTTCTGCCTGCCATGGACTGTTTCTCATCTGCGATGCCACCCTGTGTTGGAGCCAGCCGATTTAGGACTGAAACCTCTACAAACTGTGAGCTAAATAAACCTTTCCCCCTTTAACTTTGGGTGTAGGGTGTTTTGTCTCAGCATTAAAAAACTAAGATGGGCTTACAGTCAGAGGGCTGACATAGGCAGGGTTCGCATGCTCCAGGAGAGTTTCTCTGGTCACGTATTGAAGGAATGCAATGTGTACATGTGTATGTGGGGTGGTTAGGAGACACTATTTGTGAGTGCTTGGCAGTCAGTGGGTGAAAATCCTAACAGTGCATAGTCATGTTTTTTTTATTACGTTGGTGATATTTATGGCTGCACTATAACAGTGTAAAAATAAATATGTCAGGTACTACAGTCCCTCTTTATCTGTTACTCAGCTTCAGTTATGCACAGTCAACTGTGGTCTGAAAATATTAAATATTCTACAAATAATAAACGTTTAAATATAAGTTATAAGTCTTCAATAACTTGTATTACAATATGTGGTTATGATTATTCTATTTTAAGGTTTTTTTTTTTTTTACTCTGCCTAATTTATAAGCTCAATTGTCATAGGTAGGTATTACAGGAAGGCAGTATAGTGATAGAGGACTTGGTATTGTCTATTTCCGATGTCCACTGGGGAGCTGAACATATCACTGGGAAGAAGAGGACTCAAAGCACGCAGGCAGGGGGAATTGGGTTCTGCCCCAGACTGCACCAGCTGCTGTAATTGTTTAAGGATTGTGCTACCGGCAGGTACCAGCCCACGTCACACCACGCACTGTGGGGTTGGAGCAGCGCCATAGGTGCCTCGTGTTGAGATTCCAGATTACCATGCTCAGGCACTGCGGTCTAGTTCTCGTGGTTGTAAGATAGCACACAGAATCACAGGTTTTAGAACCAGAAATCACTTTGGAGATTATCCAGTCCAACCTCCTTGTTTTGCTGGTGAGGAGACAGGCTCAACTCTTCAAGTGACCTTTCCAACAGCATATGATCAGTCATAAATACAGTACTACAAATCAGGTCTCATACCTTTCGCCATTTGTTATGGGTTGCACCCTTGCCCCCCACACTCGCCAGGCCCTGAACTGGAGCCAGAACACCCAATGTGATGGCTCTGTCGGACAGGCACTTAGCTATAGACTGAACAGGGAGCTACATACTCAGCAGGGAACTAGCTAGATGCACATTAAGGTGTGAAGGCGGAATCCTGGGATGGGACTGTGATGGGATTAGTGCCCTTCTACGAAGAGGCAGAGGAACCATGGATCACTTCCTTTGTTTTGTGAGGACATAGCAAGAAGGTGGACATCAGCAGGCTGGGAGCTGAATTCCACAGCAGCTGGGTCTTGACTTCCTACCTTCCAGAGCTATGAGAAAATACGTGAGTGTGTTGTTTAACACATCCTGCTGACTTGAACCACCGGTGACACATGCATGGCTGTCCCATCAGGTGGCTTGTGCCACCGGTGGTACAAATGGATCTAATCCCTTTTATCAGTGTTGTGTGAATTTGGTACCAGGAATCAAATTCAGGACCTTGCTCTTGCCAGGCAGGCGCTTGTACCGCTGAGCTATATCCCCGGCAGTGTTGTGTGAATTTGAATAATTATTGCCCAAATATAATATTAATCAGTGTTACTCATACCAATTAAAAATTCGTACAAGAATCAAATTTATATCATTAAATTGAAAGAAATTGATTTGTATGTGTGAATTTCTTTAAAACATTTTATATGTAAAGGCAGCTGATTGGTACAGAGCGTACAACACATCAAAATGCATTTGGACAGGCAGCTGTGGTCGAGCTCCCTTGGGGCTAGTTTATGAGGACACTATCTACTTAAGGGGGTGCCAGATGTGTGGCCTCCGCTCCACCCTGAAGCCACACTTCTTAATGTCATCACCTTGGAAACTAGGATTTCCATGTGTACATTTTGAATGGACATAAATTTTCAGAATGT